GGGGGGGTGCCAAGGATCTCACTCAGCTGATGCCTGAACAGACAAGCCACCACTGATTTCATGAGCTGCAGAAGAGGATTTTTGATTACAGTAAGTATCAATAAAAAGTCAATGGGACTCTGAGACATCGTTTCTCTCTCGAGAGCTTTCGCTTTCTCTTTTTTTCTTCTCTTTTTTTCCCCCTTTTCTTTTTTTTCTTTTTTTTTTTTAGCAAAAATATCATGCAGTCTTTAGTTCCAAAACCCCCCCTGGTGGGATCTCGTGTTTGTTTTGTTCGTTTCAGCAGGAAAAAGAAACTCAAAGTCTCCAAATTCTTCTTTCACAATTATTCTTAAACATTCAAGTCATCCTATTAATACTTTGTACAGCAGAAAGGTCTTTCGGATTTCACATGTGTATATATAAATATAATATATAGAAATATGCATATACATATGTTCAACTCGTATATGTGTATACATATTTTGGAACTGTATCAAAGCCAATTTAATGTGCTCTCAAAATATGGCCCATGATTCCTTGTGGGATGCACATCATTTCACATAGTACAACCAGTAGATAAGGTTGAAAAATCCAAAGGTGATAGGGAAAATGACCCGGGACCACTTGTCAATGGTGCTAACATCTGACAGGTTGGGGATTTTCAACTTGAGCTTGGAGGAGCGTCGTCTTAGCCGACAGTTGGCCCGGCTCCGCATGGCACTCCGATCCAGCGAATGGTGGCTGAAGCCATCTCGGGGGGCCATGGGCTTCCTGAATTGGACCCCGGAGCTGTCAAAGGACATGACCGAATTCCGAGAGTCACTGACGCTGCTCCCCACGTCAGAAGGCATCACTTCGTTATTCATCTCCAGAGTGGTGAGGAGGATGTTTCCATAAGCATCCACCTGTGCAAAGCGGCGAAAGACACAAAGATTCAGCGAGGGCTGAAATGCCAAGGAGCAGCCCCATTAATCCCATTAAAACTGATACTTATGTTAAACCCCCCCCTCCCATCCCACAAGCTGTCAAGCTTAAGCAAAATGCAGGGATGATATGGAATGTCATTTCTCGCATGCAACAGAAATAGTTAACAAGACTTTCTTTATATATTACTGCTATTATTATTTTCTTTCTTTTTTTTTTAACACAAGTTACTTTATCGTGAGGTCTGGCCTACAGCTGATATGATTGCTAAATAAATGTACCCCAACTTTTCTTTGTTCCTCGAGATACAGATTTCTTCGCTGTGTAAATGACCTGAAGGTGTTGGTTTGAAACGGCACGGAAATGGAGTCCTTGCAATGTGAAAGAAAAATGAAGAGAACATTAAACGGCTATAAAAATACTGGCAAATAAGCACATTTTCTCAGAAATTACACAAGGCATAAGACATAGAGTTAACAGGAACAACTTTTGAATAAGCATAGCATTTTTAGTACCTCACACACAGGAAAACAGGAAAGGGGGGGGGGCTTTTTTCACTCCATTTTAGCATCTGTCATTGGCAAATTGCATAAGTGCTGATGCTTCCTTATCTTGCGTTTTGATGTTTATCCAATTTTTCTTTTTTTCATTTTGCAGGAAAACAGGCGCTGAAATATAAGGCCGGCCGAGTGAGAGTGAATAAAGCCTACAGCATAAACATAGACAACAACCTAAATAAGAAATGGGAATGTTTACACCACTGTTGAGTTAGATGAATAGGTATCTCAATGAAAAAGGCTATGTTCGATAAAAAGCAGTCAGTGCTTGAGGGAGAAGCAATGGATGATGGTCGGTGAATGCATATTAGGCTGTGGTGGCATCAGTATGCTTGTGGAAGATTACTTCAGGGACTAGTGTATGCATATGTGTCTTTGGATAAAATGGCTGTGGCTTGAAATCTTATGTGCAGAACATCGTTGTTTTGTACTTGAACTCTGACTGACACAGAGAGGTGGAGTACAAAAAAAGGGGGGGGGAAAGAGAGAGAGAGGGAGAGAGGCGGCAGATGAAGATGCAAACCTGTTCCCTCAGGCGCTTCTCTTCGTATCTTGTGCGCTCATTGTTGGCTTTGTTCAGCCTCTCGCTGAGTTTCTTCTGTTGCGCGGGGCCCCGACCAAAGAACACGTAATTTACAAAGGCATATTCAAGCAGGGCCAGGAACACAAACACAAAACAGCCCATGAGGTAGACGTCGATGGCTTTCACGTATGGAATCTTTGGGAGAGTCTCCCTAAGGTGGGTGTTAATAGTGGTCATGGTAAGCACCGTTGTCACACCTGAGTACAGCAGCACACACACACACACACACACACACAGAAAAGAAACGCAGAGACCGTCAGATACTGCACATGTACACACTTTTACTCCAAACTGTACTTGTGTATCGTTACTTACTGCGTGGTGATAGAAGTAGTGAAAGGAGTGCACAATTTACTTTTATTTACTTACTTTATTTATTTACTTTTATTTAGACAAAAATGTCATTCCAGTGTTCATGTCTCCCTTTTAATCTTGCATTGCTTTGCTAATATAGTGGTAACTAAGTAATATTTGCCTTTAATGCGTGTTAGAGGAGATAAGGAGAAAAGTGGGATTGTTAAGTAAATGTAACATCTACCACATTTACCTCCAATTTACAATCAGCAGTGAACCTAACATAAGCCTGTCTTTGGACTGCCAGAGAAAGACCATGAAAACATCCCCACACAGAAGGGCCCAGCTGGGGGGTGGATTTGAACAGAGGACGCTGCACCATCACTATGCCACCGTGCCACCCTGATCACATCTTAGTCTAACTATCATAGCGTTAGTCACTTTGATGCGGTTTATTCAATTATCATGGCAGACAATGCTCTGAGAATACTTGAGAAATTGGATAAGTGTCATGAAAGTTACCAATTTTGGTAGTGTAGCTGGGCCTTGTGTCATTACTAATTATTTGCAATAAAAATATTATATTTAAAATAAAGATTTTTTTAATACTGTCTCACTGAAATAGTTGTGTTATTCTGTTTTTGGACTAATTTCTGGGAACAAAAGAAATTCCACATGACCGCAATGTCCTATTGAAAATAGCTGACGCTGTGACCTTTAGGTGTGCGTTTGTTGTAATTATCTATCAGTCATTTGCCTGTATATGCTTCAGAGTTACACAGGAACAAGTAACACTGCACGACAGCCACATGTTGTTCCTTCCTGTGATAATAAATATATTCTAGCAGAGATAGTTATGAGTTTAATAATGCAGCAGTGGCTGCGGCTTACCCAGGGCCACCCGAGCTGCAGAGGCATCGTAATTGATCCAGAAGGAGACCCAGGAGAGGATGGTGATCAAGATAGAGGGCATATATGTCTGCAAGATGAAATATCCAATGTTCCTCTTAATCCTAAAACTCAGTGAAAGCCTTGGATATGCACCTGTAAGGAGAGAGGATGGAGGATGGGTGATTTTGGAGCAGGAGAAGAGTGAAAACACATTAGTAAAAAAAAAAAAGAAAAAAAGAAAGAAAGGAAAAAAGAAGGGAGAAACCATGGCACAATTTAAGTGTTCCAAACTCTGCACTTTGACAACACGCAGGGTAGTCATTTCTCCATTTGTTCAGATGGAGCACTTAATTTCCCCAAAGCGATGGATTCCTTTCCAGGGACAAGTTCGATTCCAATTAAACATGGCAGAAAGTCGCAAACGAGGCAGATTTTTCTGCAACCCCTATCTCAGCAGGCAGCTCCAGCATCCCTCTGAGAATTGTCACAGTGAGCTGCTCTGCTTTTCTTTTGCACTTTCTCTGTCCTCTAAACATTAACAAACGGCCATTTTTAAAGGTGGATAATTGCAGTGCATGCCTATACGCTGAGAGGAAGAAAAATGTGTGCCGTAAGTCATTTATTGCAGAATCTTACCAGAAAATGTTTTCTAGGAAAACTATCAGCCAATGTAAACACTGATGGATGGTTTCTCTGCTGTCTAGACAAGATATTTTAAAAAAATGTAAATAAAACTAGAAAACAATGATGTACAAAAGATTTTGAGCACAATATTTAATTGGAAATCGTGCAAGGGCATGTTTATGTCTAACAGAATTTCATTTTGAGTGTGAAACTGTCAGCAAAAGTTGCGACAGGGGCACCGTGTTACATCTTGTCATTTTTTTACACAAAAAGATGAGCATTTGGGAACTGAACAGGTGAATGTGTTATCCAGTGTCGGTTTTTACTTTTTTACTCTGGATGCTATAACTCCAAGAGGATTTGGTTGGACATTATGTTGCTGAAAGAACTTTCGGCAAAAAGTGCTGCTCTAAAATCTTCATGAATTTTATTGAGTATTAATGGGAGCTTCCGTGCCATTGCACTAATGCACCACCACACAATAGAAACTGTAGTTGTTGGCTTTGGACCAATGTGTTACCTGACTTACCACCTTTAAGTCACTGATCTGCCATCTTGTCATCTCACCAAAGGACAATTTTCCACTTTTTTTTTCTTTGCATGATTTTCACTTGTATTGTATTGTCGATGTAGCAACCTCGAATTACCTGTAAATCTTTTAATGGACATTCGCATAAATGCTTTATCAAATGTGATAAATACATGCCAGATAAAGAGCAGCAACAAATATTATTGGAAGTCGTCAAACTCAATGAATTATTAATCATACATTCGACTTTTTCCTCTGTTTACCCTTGTCTGGTCGCTTAAGGGAAGTTGGAATCAGTTGAAACACAACTAAAAGGACATTTATGTTACACGTCTAAAGTCGCTTCTACATCTTTGCTTGTTGAAAGTCCGATGAGAAGATTAATAATCTGTACGCTGAATACGAAGCACAGAGAGAGTGAACTGTTAGGTTAACATAAATACTGCAAATAAGGATAATGAGCTAGCATGCCTGTATTCAGAGGGGGAAAAGCTCACCTACTAATAAAGCTATTTATCTCTCTCAAGCGCTCTAATTAACACATCTCATCCCCGGAGTCACTGACGTTTGCCGAGCAAACTGACAAGATTGCAAGGAGGCACTGCCACGGGCCAAGAAGTATACAGTATAAGGCAATATAAAAGCTGCTGCTTTTGCACTTTTTGTTTAAAGTAAACAAGATATGTTTTGTTAATTGGTAGTTTAATTCCTGGAAAAAACAGCCTCCCTCTCATCATTGCTCTCCATCTTCATAGCTCACTGTGCACAGCAGTAGTTTTCTTGTAGTTATGATTCTTTTAATAGCAATAATGATAAATAAAAGCTAAATCAACAGTTTTAGAAGTGTTGCATGAGTAATCCTGATGAGACAGTTCTCTATAATCTCTAATTTGTGAGAAACAAAAAGATGTTTGCTGGACCATTTCAGGCTTTCATAACCAGCAGCTCAGTTTCTAAATTTCTGCATTTTTATTGTGATTTATTGTGCTTGTATGCAGCCTCTGTCTAAATAGATGTGAAGCATTCTTACCTGTAGTAAAGATGACCTCCTTGGACACCAATTGGGTGGCCACGATGGAGAACTGAGGTAACTCTAACTTGTCAACGCCTGTAACAGCATTGTCTCCTCCTTCCCAGAAGAATACAATGTCATCTGTGGTATATCCATCTGTGCCAAGGTCGGGGAAAATGAGAAGTCAGGGGAGGGAGGTGTAAATGTGATAAAGAAATCCTCGTTAAAGTCAACCACATTTCTGTATGAAGTCTGATACATGAGTATGGATAATAAGTCAGGGCCTGCACTGCTTTGAAGTCACTGAGAGTTCAGGAACATGGTGTCTTTATATGTCTGTTGACTGCCTTCCTAGATAATAGTTATCTATCTATCTATCTATCAATCTATCTATCTAAGAACATCATATAAACAGAAAAGCATGGTAGTGGTAGTGTGATGGTCTGGGTTTGCTTTGCTACTTCGGGAGCATCAACCAGGATTTCTGCTCGTTACTAGAATGTCCTGAAGTAGAATTCCCTGCCATCAGTTTGTATCCTGAAGCTCATGCATACTGGAGCAATCAAAGTCCAGACTTAAATCTAATTGCTTTGGCAAGACCTTAAAAGGACCGGACCGTTCCTGCTAAAAAACGAAACAAAAAACCCTCCAATGTGGCTGAATTAGAACAATTCTTCAAAGAAGAGTGAACCAAAGCTCCTCCACAATGATTTGAAAGACTCATTGCCAGTATTTGCAAATGCTTGACTGCAGTTCTTGCTGCCAAGGGTGGCTCAAAAAAGTGCATGTGGCATTTGTTTTTCACATAGGGATGGGTAAATTCGGACAGCTTTTTCTCCTTAATAAAAGCTATCATCATTTAAAAACTGTATTTTGGGTTATGTTTGTCTAATATTAAAATTTGTTTCACGATCTGGAACATTTACGTGTAACAAACTTTCATGTTTTTGTTGTAGTTTTTCATTTGGTGTATTTGTTAAGTAAAAGATCAAGTGTAGTCAAGCAGTGGGAGCAGGAAGAACACATTTTTGCTTAAGACTTAAATCTAGCAATCCATAATCACATGCTTCACTATCCCATCTCCTGTGAAGATATAGCCCCGTATGCATTAATATCTACATAAATTAACATATACTGTATCATAGGTATGACGCGCCCACATATTCTCAACTGGCAGTGCAATTGAAAGTGACCACAGTTAGATTTATGTCAGTAGGCCAGCATGCATTCACTGCAGAGCCGTTTCTCAGTCTGAGAAGTATTACTCCATTTCACATTCTACTACTCTGTGCTCAGACCTGGACTGCATTCAGTAAGGGACCAGGATTCATTACTATTAAATCTCTCTTTTAGGTTATAGGAAATGCGACATTGTTCATGAAATTGAAACAAGTGGCTGACTTATAAATCAAACTGATGTTTAATGTGCACCATTCACTAGTGCATAGCTTCCATGACTGTAAATAGCAGAAATGCATGCAAGTCTTTAATTCACAGCCTGTCCATATTTGATTGCTTATTGAAATCCCCGAGGGTAAATGCTAGGCAGTTTTATCTTGAACAACATGAACCACAAAATATCTGGTGTATTGAGCAAGTGGATTTGATTGATGGAACGGTCAATGAAAATGATCAAGCAAATACAATTTTTAATTACACCACAAGCATATTTTTCTCTCGGATAATGATTTATTGAAATTAAAGCATTTGGGGGAAAATAATATGTGAAACAGCTGCCAGCTAATGTTAGGAGTTGTATTTTATAGGAAAGTTTAAAGTGAAGTGCAGACTTTTAGTTTTTATTTCAAGGGCTTTTTTTTTTTTCAATAACTATTTGGGAATTACAGACACTTTTAAACACAGCCCACTCGTTTTCAGAGGATCAAAATTATTAATTGACACAATTTTAAATATAAGGATTGTTTTTTATACTTGGATGAAAATTCTTTGACTGGCTGAAATCTTGTTTGTGGTTCTATCTGCCTTCAGGTTTGTACTTAGTAACTGAAAAGCATGCACTGTTGGGTTGAGACCAGGAAATTGATAAATATCCCAAACCCTTCCTGGTCTTTTTGATACTTTGTTGATGTTTGTAGTTTTGCATTGTGCATCTTTTGGCAAATTATGGGTAGAGCATACGCTACTTTGAGTTTATGATTGTTTTTTACTTTGTTTTCTTTGTTAACACAAGTATTGTTTGATGGCTTTGTGTTGTGGTAGTGGTAAGACTGTTTATTAATCGGTGAGCATGGCTAACTTATTAGTCTTTCCCAAAATATCAAACTGCCCCTTTAGGACATACTGAAAAAGTTCAGATTTTTGAAAGAAACATACTACCTTATTCAAAGTATCTGGGTCCAGACTACCTTCTAAATGAATCATTGCTGATAAGCCCTGAATCTGGTGCTAAATGGAACCTAACCAATAACTAATTACTAGCTTCTTGCTACCGATATATTGGTTACATGTCTTATGTACAAATTATTCATTGAAATGTATGATGTGGATGTGATGGGTAGAGTTAGTATATTATTTATTAATGTGGACACTATGTTACACATTGAAAGTTCACTACGGTTTGCAGTATTAATTACTGGCCTTTGCCACTGAATAATCCACGGCTGGCTTGGTCCATCTGTCACACTGATGGCGGACTGTGACTATTAAAACTGGGACTTCAGCTCAGCCAAAACTTAGCCGCAACATTAAAAAGGCAGCAACCGGGAAAAAGATTTTGCCAGTAATAGGGACTATATCTCAACCTCACTTCCTATTTCATCAACTTAAGTGATGTCGTCATCCAAATAGATTCAATTTTCCTCCCTTTTCCTGTAAAGAACGCAGACAGTTCGAGTGTATCGGTGTTTTCCCAGACTACTGAAAGGAACCAAAGAAGTTATCTAATTTTTGTGCGTGTATTTCATTTCAGCTCAGTTTTGCAGTCATTTACGGTCATATTAGTTTCTCTCCTCTGCGTTCTTTGCTGATCTATGCACCCTAAAAACCCTTTTAGATTGATTACTGTCTCTTTTGGAGGTGAGTAATCAATGCACATCATCAAGCACTGCAACTTTTTCTTTTTCTGAAGGCAGTCATGAAGTCATATACGCCGAGGGTTAAACATCAGACAATTGCCATACATGTGCAAAGATGACAAATATCTTTCTAATTCCTCATGCTACAAAATAAACCAAAATAAAACTAAACTACTAATTCAATCTATATTGAATCTAATTCAATATAGATTACCTGTATTGTAGTGATTAGCTAGCAAAAAAGTCATGGTTGAACATTAGGGTGGAGCATACTGGGGGCCGTCTGCATTATGCGAAACTCTTGAACCTTTTATGCATCAGTTTATGAAGGAAAATTATTATCAGGCCTGGGGAGTAAAAATATGACAAAAATTCTGATATAAAATAGAATTAAGCTCCCAGACAAACCATACTGCTTTTAAATAATTATTCTCAGCTTTTCTTCCTCCTCACAGTTTGGGCCACTCTCCTTAAAAGTTGCTTTAGTTAATTGAGGCTGCAACACTGATTCTTTTTCATCCATCCTGCTTGAGATCATTGTCCTGCTACATGGTCCAGTTCCGGACAAGGTTTAGCTGTTAGACAGAGGGCCTCACATTTGATTGTACAATCATTTGATATACAGAAAAGGTCCTGGTCATGTCTCCAAAACAAGCCCAAATCATCACCCTTCCACCACCGTGCCTACATGTTTGTGCTGATATGGTTTTTTGGATTTTTCCAAATGCAGTGCATTCTTGCATACTTTTTCTAATTGTAGTGTCATGAATTTTAACATTTAACATGCTAACTAAGGCCTGTAGGGTCTGAGAAGTAGCTCTTGGGTTTTTTGCTATTTCTCTAAGCATTGCACAGTTTGACTGAAAACAAAAATTTATACTTATGGCTGTAGGTATGTTATTTTCTTTTGAAGGGTCTTTTGCATTACTCACAGCTTTCAATTTCCAGGGTGCAGTTCTGTTCATCAAGAGGGTACCTCCTTAAGTCCATCATGCAAGCAGCAGTAGTGGTTATCCTGTGAGACAAAGACAGAATAGAGACATGAAGACCTGGTACAGAAAAGACCAGATGAGGGGAGTAGTAAAAAGTCCAACAACAAGGAAGACATAGTGCAGTGGGGCAAGGAGTGGTCCTTTACCTGGAAGTTTCAAGTTCTAATCCTGCATGAATCCAAAACTTGCATTAACCTTTTTACGGCACATGTGAAGCTCATGGTCAGGAGATCTGCAGGAAGTAGATTTTCTTTTTTCAAATTCTTCCTTTTCTTGACATTTTTATATTTCTCCTTTAATATAGAGGTCATCATTTACCATGATGTACATAATAATGAACCATTAGTATGACGATTCCATAATCAAAATTCCCTTTAAGAGTAATTATTCTGCAGGTCATTGATTTGATGACAGTTTGTCAATACTCTATCTGTCCCTATGGGTCTGAACATACATAGCTTTGTAGGTTCTTTTCTATAAAGGGGAAAATGTGAGACTTCAGTGTGATTTATACATTTGTGATTTTTGAGGTCTGGTGACGTTATTTCGTTTTATGTGGATCACTAACTGCTCAGAGCCTGCATAGGATTTTGTCGATTTATGTTATTTATTGCTTGCTCTGAGATATGCATTTCTGCCAGGTAGCTTTAGAAAAATGTATGCATAGTAGCTTAATGCCAATAAATCAAGGCGCACGGGAAAGCAGCTTTGGCTACAAATTACACATGTGGGGGTCTTTGAGATATTCACCGGTGCAGCAGATTTTAGTTATTACATTTCTGCGGTTTATACCAGCTGGTATGTGTTCATCACACCAGTTCTCATTTGCTTACTGCTGCCCTGTGCAAGTAAAATATATTTACAGTAAATTAACTTTCAGGTCATCGCCTTGTGACAGAAGCAAGCAGCACATTCATGTGAGAGCATGATAGCACCTCACAAAGTTTCAGCTTTTAGAGGATGCAATACTTTCGGGATACACTGAATCATATAAGCCACAGATGCTGCCAGAGTCCATGGTTTTATACTAATATAGCAAGAAAATATACACAACCATCTACCATAACTAGAATTAGAAATACATTAGATAATAAGCTCTTTGTGCTGGAAATATATTGCTTGAACACAGAGTCTGTAAATTGGTCATGGTGGCGTGAACACAGTTCTGCTGGCAGGTAATTGGAAAACAAAATATGTTCTGCTGAAGCTGATTTGGCTATATTTACACCCCAGCATGTGTGGCTACTAAAGCCATGATGGCAAAAGGCACCATGAAGGGTAAAGAAAATTATACATGTACATAAACAAAGTGTGCGACACATATGTGTTTATTATTCACAATGACACTGTGCTGCATTCTGCTGCACAAGCAGTAAGCTGTTCAATCTGCATGCTGTTCTGCTCTACTGTACCGCACCTCCCTGTTGTCTCACAGCGATCTTCTGCTGAGAGGGTATAGCAGGGCCACTATTGTTACACACTGTGACAAGATAACATCATGCCTAATTACATTAACAGAAAAGGTCCCTTGGCAATCGTGATTCGAGACCAAAAGTTGAAAAAAGTCAAAGTTAACAATAATTACAGTTTAGAATTGCTATATGAGTCCATTTAGTCAGTTTCTCCCTGCACTTGTAATATGAGCACCATGAACACCATGTTAGAGAAAGACCAGGGTTTGGAGTAAACTAGATTTATGCAAACATACAATTGGGATTGTAGTTCATAGATAAAATAAACAGCTGAAAGTGGATAGTGCAGCAGTCCTTCGATATCATGATTACAATAATAAAGACAAGGAAAAAGTAGAACATTCACAGTTAAAAGAAACATTGGCTACCAGTTGGAAACAAACAGAGGTCTCCTGGGTTACATTTGAATGTTTCCTCTTGTGTTTAGCAAACCTGTCCATCCACCCAGACCACCTCCCTACATACCTTTACCTGTGACAGTCTACTACTACTACTTGCCTATGAGATGTTTTTTTTTTTAAAAAGGCATCATCATATTAAAAGTTGAGTCCTTTGCAGTTCAGACCGCAGAAAGAACACGGAGACAAAAAAGAAAGATAAATTATCAGAGATCATTTCAAATCATTTGGGGCTTCTGTTATAGATAGTCTACATACTAGCCAGGTTTGGTCTTGGTGCTGAAATTGCACTGAAAACTCAAGGAGTCAACAGAATTTGAGCTAATAGCCTCATGCAAACAGAAAGCAGCCAGTTTCCATTATCAATAATCTTGTCTCTTGCCTATAGATTATTCATCATGAAGTGCAGATATCTGCAGTTTTATGCAATCCCATCAAACACTGTGTTGTTTTTTTACATTGATTAAATGATCAATTTAACATTTTCCTTTACTGCAGTTAAAATTATTAATTAAAATAAGGTTAAAATCATAACTTTCTCTTTTTTTTAATGATTGCACAGCAAACATTAACAAAACATCCAAAAAAGAGAGCCACCCCCCTCCAGAGAAAACTAATACGATGGGTCCTTTTTGATCATAAACAGGAAGACAAATCCTGTCAAGACACTGTTACTATTCTTAAAAGACAATACCCCTGATACAGCAGCACAGCGGAGCAGTGGAATCCAGGCAGCTGCAGAAACAGCAGCTCAGAGTAATGGACAGAAATGAATTCTTTACCCCTCGGCAAAAAAAAGAAGAGAAGCCCACAAGAAATGAAATTGACTTTATATGTGACAGTTAACAAGTCAGGAGAGAATCATCATTGAGTAGGCACGAGCTTGGATGGCTCACAGCGAGGGGCTGGGATTTGGAAATGTCAGCAGATGTAGGTCAGCAACTTCCAGTCCCACAAGAGATGGTCAGCAGCCTCAGACCTGTGCATGCACTGCAGTCTGACACTCAGCACTCTCTACGCTCTGGATTTTAAGTTTATATGCAATGCAATTTAGTTGTCTTTGGAGGTAAAAGATGAAAGTGAGGTATGGGGAAGGGAGCCATCTCAATGGGCCGGCCATTGGAATTGGCATCTAACGCCTAAAGAAACCTTTGTGGTCAAAATTCTGTTTTGATGGAACTTTGCAGCTTCTTTTAAGTCACTGCATTGCAAAAATGATTCATGAACAAAAGGGCTGACTAGTATGCAGCCAGTAATATAAAAAATAAATAAATAAAAGGTTCATTCCACTCATTTCAAAGAATTATGCCAACATAACACCACTACTAAAAGCAATCTGGAGGTGGATCCCAGAGGCTCGGCACTACAGACTGGTAGGCTTTCAGATATCTGAGCAAAAGTTGTGACGCCTACGCAGTCTACTCCTGTATCCATCTCTGTGTGGTAGTTTGCTTACCAAAGAAGATCACTGTAGTATCACAATGCTTGGCTTAATAAACAGAGCAACATGAGAGAGCAGATTTACAGAAACGGGAAGAGAGAGAACACAATCTGGCGAGAGCTTAGCTCAACAAAGCCCTCAATGCTCATATTGGCTCGTTGGTTTGCTGGTGATGATTCAGCCTCTGAACCCATTGGCAAGTTAGAAAAACCTGCTCAACAGTTTTTTACTGAATACATCTTCTTTTAGTGATGTTGGAAGTGACTTTGCGTGCAACAACCTGATGTTCCCATGCATCTTTTGCGGTTTGTTATACGTAATAAAGCACAAGGTTCAAATCTATCTGTAGAATTACCTGGTACAACCGAAAACAAAGAGCTTAAAGAACCAAAATGTTGCAATGATGGAATTTCATTGTTTGCTTTTTTTTTTTTGTATTTGCATTCATACAATTCCTTCATCTCTGGATTCTTGTGGGCAAGCACAGCACTAATAATTCATGTGTCACAAGCATTTCAAGTAAGTGTTGAATTCAAAATATTAAGTTCAAAACTGTTCTGTGTGCATGTATGGGTACCTAACTTGATCCTCAAGCAATAGCTGAAATTAAAAAAATATATACTAGAAACTGAAGTGTTAAAACTGCTTTAAAGGGTTCAAAGCTAAACTGTATGGACTATTACTTGAACAGTGCATAATCCTGTTAAAGTATTACCCTAAAAAAATGTTAATTAAATCTATGAATAAAAGTAACGCAGCAAAAAGTGCCTTTTATCCCACTGAAATTTATTGCTGTACGAGAAAAAAGAGACACAAGTACTTTGAAATTATGCACAAGCCTAGTTAGACTGTCACATCAGAAGAACTGGTTTGTGATCCGAACCATTCTTGGAGCATTGATCATTGCTGCATCCACAACTCTCCATTGCAATCTATGTATTACAATACGAAAAATTTAGAACTAAGGATAATTATTACCGTTTACTTTATTAAAGTAAATTAAGTCGTAGCGCAGAACAGAGTAGTCTTTGAGTTATAGGTCTGAATATAGCATCTTTTAAAATATCTTTTTCGTGTGTGTTTGATCATGAGAAAAATTGATTTAAAAAAAAAGTTGGTGCAATCTGACTGGTAATCTGGAAGAACAAAGGCTGCTGGTACAAAGAATCATTCACCATTCAACACTCAAAGCCACATCAGTGGGTAAAAAATGACGGTGCCTTTGTGAAGCAGAGACACTTTTAAGCTTTTACCCAAAATGATTATAAAAATAGAAGTAGTCGAAGAACGCAAGTTAGATTAGAATCACAGTAAATTGTACGAAACAAAGCACATTTTTAAAAAAACAAACACAAAAAAACACCAGTGCTAGCACATTTCACAGTGAGTGGGTAGAGAACAGGACAAGGTGCAGTAGCGTGTTTAATGTGATTGTCCACAGTTTGTGTCTATCCCCCACGTCCTGCTCAGTAGCAGGACGTGGGGGATAGACTCAAACGGGGAGGGGCTGCAATAAAATCCATTTAAAGACACCGAAAACCTCAGGCACTCTGATTTGAGAGTCACAACAATCAATTGGCTTGAACTCAGACTACAAACATTTATTGTGCATTGTCTGTTCTGGTTGTCCTCACAACCTCTGGGCAAAAGACGAACAAATCAAGAAAGCAATTTCATTACACGCTCATGGGAAGCTTATAAAGGCCCTGGAATCACCACTGCATGTACGATTATGCACTTTTTTCTAATTACACACTGCTGACAAAAATCAAATCTGAGACCATCTACTATACAGCTTACAGCAGACAACACCAAACTGTAGTACGGCTCAGGACGAGCTGTTGAAGAATTAGCTGACGTTAAAATCCCCTGGAACGGACTTCGCTTTCCATTTTGTGCATGCGGAATAAAAAGCCAGCCGAGGTGCAAATGCAGGTGTAATGCAATTTTCTTCTGGCTCTGGTCCATTTTGCTACCCTTGTGCCTCTTTCTGCGGGCGCAGAGGAACCTGCATGTGTTGAGCCGCGCTGAGTGGAGCAGCTGGGAATGTTTATTCAGATCAGGTGGCGCAGTGTAATTTGGTACCATTTTGGCACAAGTCTCCACCTGCTTAAACTGGCCGCTGCACAAAGTTGTTATTTTATTCCACACACATTCAAAAACTAACAAAGCTAAATATTTAATGGGGTAAAGCCAGAGATTTCACTTGGTATATGCTATTTTGTCCGTGCTATTTTTCTATTTGCTTAATTAGTACCTGCATGGAACAATTTTAAATACTTTTTTTCAAGTTCCCTTCCTTAAAATACCAAAATAGTGTACTAGCCTTCATAAAGGATGTACTCTCCAAGTCCCCCTCTAGTCGTTCCCAATGTGATCATCAGCTGGATGTATGTAAACAATGTTGGATATATAACGTTCCCCATCAAACAGCAACTCTTTTTTTTTTGTTTTGTTAAAATAATATATTCATCCTATTCCTGACTTGGAGAACAGAAACACAAGTACAGATTGTACTTGTCTGGTCAGAAGCTAAAATTAGCTTGGCATGCCTGTGTGGAATTGTCACAGTAGATCCAGATGAAACCGTCTCACAGATATTTGTTTGCCACCTCTGCATCAGTGAGGATGCATTTCTGTTGAAGTGATAATAGCCCTGTGACGAGTCATAAGAAGAAAAAAAAATACTTTTGCAGTCACATCTCCTTTTGTGTCAGCACCAATTTGGTAATTTGGCATTTCTGAATGCTGATTATCGCATTAATAATTCATTACTTCATATGATGTAAACCCTGTCGCTGACATTTTCCTTTATTTGGCGAACAAAACGCCTTCCCAGCTTCTTTGCCTCTGTCACACTACTTTATTTTAATAACTTGTGTTAAGAAAAGCAGCAATCCATTGTGAGTTCCATAAACCTTACTTTAAGCAGTGCCCAGGGGATTTTTAGATGGGTCCCTCTGTGCGCATTTGCTGTTGACTGAATTGTCTGGTTCGTCACAGTGATCTGGGACATTGAGGTGGTGAGCATTTTAAACCTTTTTTTTTAGCCTTTCTGGGTCAATGAACCTTTGCTTTAATGTATTCGTCACTGCTTCCAAAACATCGTGATTGTTTCAGGTCAAGCTTATAACTTTGCAGACCATTAACTTTAAAAATAAAACTTGAAAGTCTGTTTGTTGTTACCAAAAATAAATCTGTCATATTTCATCCTGCCAAAGGACCAGATGATATGGGCTAGCAGAGGTGATCTTGTTTTTCCAGCTTAAATGTGGTTTAAGGTTAGTAAAATATACCACTTGATGAAGGAAATGGCCGGCAGCACAGCAACAGTTGTTCAGGTTATCGTAAGAGCTGTATGTATGGATGTTCAGCAGTTTGCAAAAGTTTTAGCAATATCGAAATACTTATGATTCTGCTGTACTATTTATTTTACGGCTAATGCTGTTTATGGTCACAGTGAGACGGGTCCTTTACTGGCACACGTGGAATGTTTTTCTGTGCTCACATTATATTTTCTGGGGCTTAGACTTCTTCTAGTATAAAAGTAAAATGTAAAAGGCAACAAGAACTCTGTCCAGTTTCTTTCCAGGCTGTGGGCAGAGAAACATCCTGGAAAGATTTCTAATCAGTTGCTGAGGAAAATGGAGCTGCACATAGCCACACTCACACTGGGACATTTCATAGTGTCCAGTTCCTTCTCACTTGACCTGTTGAGACTGCAAGAGCCAATCTGCCTCTAAGTTCAGCTGTGTAACAAACTTTGGTAATGATAAAAATGATAAATAATAATTACGCAGTCTCATCTGTATTAACATTAAATGGCTCAGTCATGCTACAGCAAAGACGGGATAGCAACCTCCTTGTAAAAGATTGGTGGTTGCAAGTTGATTGGATTGATTTTTTTTTTCTGATTTGGTGCCCAACTGTGAATAGCTGTGGCAACAGCAAGGTGACTGCACAGGCTGCCTGGTGGAAGGCAAGCAATTCTGACTTAAACAGTCAGTCTCAGACAGATTGCAGACAAAATAACTAACTAACTTCCAAACGCATTGCTATCTATTTGAGTCAGTATTCACTGATAAGGGCACGCCTGTGACAGGCCACTTTCCAACAGGGGGATCAACTCAACTGGTTGTAGTTTGGTTATACTGCTATACAAAAGCAAGGCTGGTGAGTACCTGTGTCATTTTGTAGTTCAGTTGAAGTCCTGGAACACCTATGTCACTGTTTTTGGAGGAATTGGTTTGGGCTGGATTACTTTATTAACGGGATATTATCACAAACAGATTACATGTAATTGCCATCTTGACCCCATTCAATAGGACATGATAGCAAACTGATAGTACACTGACTCTGTCCTATTGCCATGTTTTCCCAGCTTGACATACCAAAGTTGCTCTGCAGACAGAGACTGTTTGCGGGTTGTTGTAGACCTGGTCTACTTAAAAGTTCATTTCACACGGTCGCAGCAACCAATAGTCATCAACCTAAAAATTAACTGCACTCTTAGTGTCACAGCATTGCTATTATGATGTGAAAGCAAATAAAACAACAGTTGGACGGTAAACAGAGAAAAAGAAAGACAGAAGAGTGTGGCACAATGTATCCACAGCACCGATGCTTGCCTGATAAGCCACATTAAAATTAACCAGCAACCCACGTAGTGCGTAGCGTTTTTACTGCTCTTACCTTAATCCATATAAGACGGTGCCATCAGGGTGCAGTCGGATCATACGGTTTTTTACTGTCACACCATGAAGAAAGGACTTCTTGTCATTAAGGAAGTAGGTGTCAGGGAGCCAAAGCTGGTCTGCTACACGGTTGTCCAGAGTTAGGTTTAGGTTCAGCTCACCATAGGCCAACCGTTTATCTCGCCAGCTCTGCTGGAAATACATTGTGATGGTATAGTCCTGGGAAGAAGTAAAGGAAAAACCAACATAAACCACAGGCAAAAAACAAACAAAGAAACAAAAAAGTACTCAACTGTACTCAAGGGGAAAAGTAGACAGTTGTTTTAGATTAACTGCTGCTCAAAAGTTAAGTGCAGAAGAAACTAGAAGATGCTTAAGTGAATCTCAGATCAGGAAAAAACATCTAATGTTTCTGATTGTGTTAAGGAAAAGCGTGAGAGAGAAGGATTAGGAGGAGAAATGCAGTGAAGTGGAGAAATATCGTCTTGCAGCTAATGTATCCCCTGTAGCCAAAGGGCTGTGCTGTTAATAGTGCTGAGAAAAACACGAGTACAGGCGCTTAATGTAAAACCTACAAAGTGCAAAAAAAAAACAACGGCGGCTTTCGATGCATCTCAGATTATTAGAGTTAAATAACAAGTTTACCCACACTCTGCATTTGAGCATGATGCCTATTAAGAGATCTGGTATCCTTCCTTTCTGATTTATTATTAATGACATAATATTTTTTCAGAAAACGCCTCACCCGTGTACAAATGAATGGCCACGGGGCTCGTAATGAGAACTAAACCAAACTACTGATAAACAACTCAATCACCCCTTTCAGTGACATTTCTCATTAATAATCAGCAATTTTAGATGCAAATTCAAGGAAAGGCACTCTAACGTCATTTTAAAAAACACAACCCAATGAAATTTTCTGCTACTCAAAAACCTGCAAACGCATCGACTGGCTGAAAACACTGACATTTTATGTTTTTGTTTCATTAAGACCGTGAATTTTTAATAATCAGTCTGAGTGACTGATTGTTAGATGTCTTGATGCATTCTCAATCATCCAGGAAAGTAAATCTACAAAAGTTGATGCTGTGATTGCAGCCATTCCCCAACTCTCTGTGAATGGTACTCATGGCCATTGATCAGTGGGTTTTGGTCAGTGGTTGTTGATCAATGGTCATGAGAATTTGCGTAATTAACCTGACATCTGACCTCCCAGCCCGTTGTTCCTTCAGTGGGCTGGTTTCAGTCATTATGCAAATATACTGTTTATAAGATTGGGGAAACCTGCAGTCAGCTGAGTCTGAAGAAGTCACTTGGATGAGTGATGAAATATTTTTCCTACAAAACGCTACGTCCAGATGAACAGAATCAACTTTAGGGGATTGTTAGATGTATGTCAAATCACAAATAAACTTTGAATTTTTGGAAAATTATTCCATCACTCCAGAAGCAAAAAAAAGCCATACAGCAGAAAATAATAACAATAATCATAATTTTAAAAAGCTGCCACACTATGTGGGTGGCTATATCATGCTGAGTGAAAGAAAAAGAACGCTAAGAGACAGGATGATGTCATTTCTCAGACATCAGCCATAAAAAACCTGCAGTCAAATCTCAGTGTCTCATTCAGTAACAAGCAGAAGCAGTTGTCCACCATCACACGTATCCACAGTCTGTGTGGCCGTTCAGTCCAACTGAACTGTACAAAACACAGTTAGTAATGTTTGTAGCTGGAAAGCCTTTGAGCAATCCTGCCTTTGCTGATTCTGTAAGCAAGTATTTGCCTTGGTATTTGCAAGTGCTGTGTGATAGTTATTTACTTGGTACTGATCCCATGCAAAGTAAATGCAGGGATAATATTGCCAATACTGATTAGAATGATCATTAATTTGCAATTTGACCACTAAATCACTGTGATCGGATACCACAGTAATTAGTGAACACACCAAAACACACCTTTAAGCTTTTCATGTATTTTCAAGTCTTCAAAAAACACTAATTTTGAAGACCTGGAATTTAAATGTGCTTGTCTCTAAAGCACTTTGGATCATCTTTTATTATTTAAATGTGCTGCAGGCTATAAATAAAAATAGATGTGACAGTCAACACAGAAATATTCAGATATTTTTCATAGCGAGTGTTTGAGATATATTTTTGGGGAATTTTGGTATCTGATATTTAATATTTGCATGGTTTAGCATGAATCTAGTCTCTTCTTGCAAGGTTGGGAGTTCCTAGTGTGAAGCCCTCCTTAAAACAATGAGATCTGAACTTACCATGTTTACTTCTGAGATGGAGTCTATACTTGCTATGTTGATGCTCATTCCTACGACGACTGGAGGACCTGAGGAGAAAGGAAAACTTGGCGTCACCAAAACGCTTTTATTTTTTCTTTTCTTCTTAAACACACATATTTTGAAGCGATGCTCTAACATTAAACTGCTTGATAAATTCAGCAGCATCCACCCAGCCACATCAGACAAAAAAAAAAAATCAAACTGAGCACAAATATAAAGGTTAGTGCTTAATATGTGCAGTTGCCAGTGGGTGGATGCAAAGCCCAGCGTAAAGATGAGCCCCTTTCAGAAGCCTCTGAAACCACACGGAGAAAATGCTCTCGTACATACACGTTTCTATACTAGCAGTTTATGGAAAAGAACGAAAAGAGTGAACAACGCCTCATTTACATGATTATAGTGCATGTGACAGATATGCATGCTGACTCTCTTACAAATACAATAACCACATACCCATTTCAGTGGTCACACAACTTTAGGTTTACGAGGTGTATGCATTCACAGTGCACATAAAACCACAGTCACTGTAACCAACAGCCAGTGACACCATGTGACTGTGCTGTATACAGTCATGAATACGCATGAGACATTGCCTCAAATACAGGAAGGCACACTGTAACACTAAAAAATGTAGATGCATTTTTTGCAATGCAATAAGCGCTTGCTTGTTCTTTTCTTAATGCCTTGCATTGGCCTTAACTGGGGGAACAGATCTGTTACCATTAGTTCTCAGTGTTTTATTGGTGCAAAATACAGCCTTCCCATTCCCTGTTCTTCAAACTAAGTCACCTTTATTTTGGTTGATGGAGCCACAAAATATAATTTGCTGACACGGAAAACAGAAACAGCAATAGCAGATCAGTGATTGGTTCATGTGGCAAAGCTGAATCAGGGAATTCAGATGATGTGCCACAGTTTTATAGTGGAAGTGGCATTTGCATAGGAATCATAACTACGAGAAGAAAAAAAGCAACTCTGCTGCAGTGTGTACAATCTAATATATCATCATACATACCCGAAAGACATCAGACTCATAGCTTTTTACTAAAATGAATCAATGCGATAGCTACGTTATTAGTGCACTGCTGCTGTGTGAACTGCATGTGATATACTACTGTATATCATATGCATGGATATACTGCATCTACAGTATATCATTTTTCAGGGACTGGTGGCACACATTAATTAGAAAATAGAAAGGAATAAGGACGAGATGATAACTTTTTTTTAATCACAAGCAATGACTGGTTTGTTATGCTGATTGTTTCTTCGAATTTTCTCTTTTTTAAATAAAAGTTTACTAGGCCATCATTTCCTGCACAGTTTTAACTGCACAGTGAGATTCCTCAGCATTAGCTGCTGGTAATAGGTACTGAAAGTGAAAAATATTTTTGGAGTTTCATTGGAACAGAAGTATCAAGTAGAAAGCACCACCAATAATTACTTTTTTGTAATAACACAATATAATTAACACATTTTATGAATATGTATATTGTTACAGCCTATTGTGATTCACAGAGTCAGAGAGTGACATACAGCTGATGGTTATACTGCACAAGTTCACATAGACAGATTCTTTGCCCAAAACAGATCTAAGACTTCACCTCTGGATCCTCTAAAAATATAACACTCTGAAATAAAAAAAATATATATATAAAAAAAAAAAATATTAATAAGAAAAAAAAAGTTGACAGCTGCTTTAGATGACGAGAGCTGTGGTGATGTTAAAGGTTGGAAACTTGCACAGTTCAGAGGCCATAAGGATTTTAAGTGTATAAAAATCACTAACATAACCCAGATCTGCCCAAATAATCTCACCATACAGAGTCTAGATGCATAAAGAGTCCCCATGACTATGCTTCTGATTATGGCTAAAAATAGAGTTCAATCTAGCCTGTCAGTCTGCTCTCAATAACTATAGTGTGTGTTTCTGTGATACAAACATCGATCCATAAACTTTATGTCTTGCCTCTGTAGCTTAGAGCATGGAACAAACTGTGCAGTCTAATTCATGACCAACTCTGACCAACATAATGACTAGGAACATTTTGTTTCAGCAGAAAGGTGAATGAAATAAACATTTCTGCTAGAATTAGCTTTGATGACTAATCGACTTATTTAAACTGTTTGTGTTTTGACAAACTTCATCAATTATACTAAATAACACTGCAATTGGCACTGACAGATTGTCTGTGTTTCTCTTTTCATACTGGTGCAACATCCTTTATTAAATATTTAATTGTGTACCGCATTAGAACATTTAATTGTACTCCAGCACTCTGGAACAACTTTTTTAAAAAAAATACAGCGGGGTCCGAGATCTCCAAGCAATTCAGAACAGAGTGCTCACTGACGTGACCAGGAAGCCAAGACGGTTGTTGAATGTGGCTAAAACAAATGATTTAACGAGTGATAGTTTGCATGCTTGGGAAGGTTCAGACAGCCTCTTGCAGGGCACTCTGCAAGGAACTGACCCAGCTCCAAATGTTGAGTCTTTGTCTATATCAAGATCATACCCAATAAATCATTTTGCACCTCATTCCTCCTTAACGACACTTATGTTACACATTTCAGTGCATCATTCTGCTTAAACTATCATCTGCAACCTATAGGTGTAACTGTACTGACACACATGTGTGGGTAAAACATTGTTAAATTTAAAAACAAAACCTGTGGCAGCTTTGTCATGTATGAAATATTAGCACATATGTTAAGTGGTCACAATAGTTGGATTGGCAAATTAGTTAATGGGATTAGAACTGTGTTACCATTTGCGTACTACACATCAGGCATAACATTATGACCACCTGTCTCATATTGTGTTGGTCTCTCTTTTGCTGCTCAAACAGCCCAGAACCATGGACCCTGTACTGGACCCCTGTAGGTGTAAAGTAGTTTCTGATACCAAGATGTTAGCAACAGACCCTTCAAGTCCTGTAAGTTGAGAGGTGGAGCCTTCGGACTTGTTTGTACAACACATCCTAAAGATACTCAATTGGATTGAGATCTGGGGGATTTGGAGGTGAAGGCAACACCTTAGACTCATTGTTTTGCTTCACAAACCATTCCTGAACACTTTTTGCTTCGTGGCAGGGCGCATTATCCTGCTGACAGTGACCATGGCCATCAGGGAGTACCATTTCCATCAAAGGGTGCGCATGGTCTGCAGCAATGCTTAGGTAAGTGGTACGTGTCAAAGTAACATCCACATAGATGGCAGGACAGCAAGGTTTCCCAGGAGAGCATTATCACTTTTGATAGATACTGACCACTACAGACCAGAAACATCCCAAAAGAGTTGCAGTTTTGGAGAAGCTCTGACCCAGTCGTCTACCTATCAAAACCTTACTCTAGCCTATTTTTCCTGCTTCTAACACATGAACTTTGAGGACAAAATGTTCACTTGCTCCCTAATATATCCCACCCACTAACAGGTGTCACGATGAAGAGATAATCAGTGTTATTCACTTCACCTGTCAGTGCTCATAATACTATGCCTGATCGGTGCAATCTTGAGGGTCATGAAATAACCCCCGAAGCCTCACTGCAACAATCTATGGCTTTAGAGAATTAAAAGGCATATCAGATGTCCGCTGTAAAACACAACAGAATCAGACGATCAAAAAACAGCAACAATACAAACATTCTATGATATTCTATGATAAAATGTGATAACATGAATGAATCTGCTACTATTCTGGGGATCTGACTGAAAGACCCGCACACGTTCTCTCCTATACTCTGCAAATTCTTCTTCTTTGACTCGTCCCACTACTCTAAATACCCTAAAGCTCTGTCATCTTTCCTGACCCATCTTTTCCTTAAAAAAATGGATGATGGAAGGGGGTATAGGGCCATTTTCCATCACACTTTGTGAAAGCAACCAGCAACTGTTTTCCCCAGAGATGCCAAAGTACATTCGTTCGCTAGATGAAAACAGAAAGCACCAAATCTCACCTCTCTCTCTCCCACCCTCCCTCCCTGTCTCCCTCTGCATATGTTGACCCTGCTTTAGAGGAGCAGAGTCACTCACTTCACTACCACAGCTTTCTTGAAATAAAACTGTTGCCTGCACTTGCACTTCACAAGTTGGAACGAAAACAAACACCATTAGACGTTGATTTTCATAAAAAAAACAAAACCCAACAGTAGCCACCACATACTTTCTTGTTCTCCGCTGCAAATGTTTCCAACCATCTCTTAGTCTGTCTTTTTAATAATTTATCAAAGGTTGGGATCTGTGGAAAAAGAAGGGTGCGAATAAGAGGAAGAGATCATAATGTCCCAAGGCAAGCCATATTGTGTGCGAACAATTAGCGAACTAGCGTGTAACACTAAGTTTTTCAAGAAGCCTCTGAATGTGTCAGCCTGCTCTGGCTCGCTGACGGGTTGCTGGCCAGCATCGCAGTAGGAACAGCTTGTAGCACATGTCTGATGATGGTCTGGGCATAGATGTGGTGCATTAAAATGGAAAAGAGGCAAAAACAATATGAGTTGATCTTTAGTCGCCTACTGGTTTCTCCTCATGTGGTTCCTCGTGAAACTGGGCACAGGGACATCACTCAGGGAACAGAACAGATTTACTGAAATTTTACTAAATTAAAGTCACCCTGTGGGGTTTTTTGATGTCCACTCGCATGGCAGTGTAATGACCACATGCTCTAACAGCATGAAGATTTTCCTGTGCGTGTGTGCTACATGGGTCGACTGTAAAGGCGAGCATTGTTGGTGGTAAAGAATCAATTAATCACATTAATCATTTTAAATGTAAGTGTTTAAAATGGGTTCTCTGTAGCAGGGCATCATGATTATAAACATAATACTATGTTTTTCTTATTTTATTTGCTCTTCATTTGATTTGGGTGAATTTGTACTCTAACATCACAACACAATTTAGTGTGTTTTTTTTTTAGGTGGACATTAAGATGTAATGTATAATATTTCCCCAAGCTTTCACAGTATCAGCAGAGGTGACTAGACTGAAGTCTTCTTAATGCCCATAGCATGTAAATAAAAGATGGCAACTGCCTCTGGGTCTGAAAAGTGA